TCATCCATGTCTTATTGCTGTATGTTTGTATTTTTGTTGTCATTCACTTGATGCTCACGAATTTCCGCCCGTGCAGACAACATGCTTGAGGATGTCACCTTATGGAATTTCAATGTATCCTTTGTGAAGAGCTTGACGTAGTAATTGCAGACCCATGGCCCTGATTGACGTCTGTCCATCTGATCCCACAATTCCTCTGTTCACTTGACTTCCGGTGACCTTGTCGGCCAGGGCACAACGTTATTCTCCACCTGTGAGAAAGTCAGTAGAGACTGAGTGAGTTTAGTTTTACGTCGCTTTTAGCAATATTCCAGCAATATCATGGTTGGGGACACCGGAAAAGGGCTTTATATGTTGTACCCATATGTTGAATCGAACCCGGGACTTCGGCGTGACGAGCGAACGCTTTAACCACTGGGCGAGATTGTGGGCCCGGAGGGAAGTGGTTCGTGCTCTTCACGATTACACGATGTATAATGTTAGCCCCAAGATATGAACGCGATCCATTCCACGTCCATAAGAGATGATGCACGCAACACGACACTTCCTCCACCGACACTTTTGATTTCATATGCCGAGTATCCGGTATAACGCTCATTCTGTCGATAATACAGACGAGGACTCTCGTCTCTTTATAGAGAGAAACGAGATTGGTCACATCACCCACCACAACTCTAACCTTGGTGACGCCCTGTTGATGCACATGACGCCACTGCAGCCGCTCAAAGGATTAGTTTTGGTAAAATGACGCTAAGGATTGGTTTTCCCGATCTGATTCTAGGGGCAGGTTACGATTACAGCTGTGTACAGCGGCCTAGCTACCATTATAAAAAGTAAAAAGAAGCCCGGGCTTACACATGATTTTTGCTAAAAAATTGGTTTCTAATTCTTGCAAAAACATCCATTATCAAAAAAATGGTAATCCCTCTATGAATCATATTGACTACAATATTCTTTGATAACAAAGCATTACCAGTACAGTCACCATTTACAGTAAGCATGGTATTCTTCATATCATAGATTTGAAAGGTATCTTTCTTTCAGTGAAGATTTTTTTCCCATCGACATGTATGTGAATGTTTTGTTACAGTCATGAATATATGTGAATCATAACTGAAATGCAGGTATTTACAATCATTTAGAAAAAAAACCCAATTTATTTAACAATTTAATTAATGATAAACTACTCTTAGTTTTCCTTCTGATGATTTCAAATATAAGCCCTCAGTACTATCTAATATAAAGCTTTTAAACCTATCGGGCTTACACGAGAAAATGGCTTGCTACGCGCCTGGTGCAGACATGGTAGGTACACCACGGGTTTCCAGAGCACATGACATTGTTACTGTTTCGGTGAGTGAGTGAGTTTAGTTTTACGCCGCACTCAGCAATATTCCAGCTATATGGCGGCGATCTGTAAATAATCGTGTCTGGACCAGACAATCCAGTGATCAACAGCATGAGCATCGATCTGCGCAATTGGGAACCGATGACATGTGTCAACCAAGTCAGCGAGCCCGACCAACCGATCCCGTTAGTCGCCTCTTACGACAAGCATGGGTTACTGAAGATCAATTCTAACCCGGACCTTCACGGGTATTACTGTTACGGCTAATGGATGGTAACCAATGGTGTTCAGTGATCACTGTTCTTTAGGTGAAGGTTCCGGATGTACCGATCCTGAGCTTGGTGGTGCAATGTCTTTATGATTTTCGGGGGTCTATAGTGATACCATGTCACCGATATTACGCCCCGAATTGCTCTTGGCAAAGTTTTTTTTAAAAATGCTTGTTATGCAACAGCGCCAAGAGAAGGGTTTCTCACAAACGTATTGACACCTGGCATGACGAGTTGGGAATATTTAAATTCAAGAGCATGACTTCTTAAAACGACAGTTTCGTGACTTTACGCGAAAACTGCTATTAATATTTCAAACTGATAACCAACATTTGACTTATATTTGTTCGTGTGGACACTACCGTTAAACCTGACGACTATTCGTATTCGTGACCAAGCAGGCCGCTTAATAACATTTACACCACAATTTTCAGTTGGAATTTTGTCTTAGATGGTGACAACAGTAGTTTAATTAACTACTGAATGCAAACATGTAGGGAAAGTTGAGGATATGACGCCGGGTTTGTCTTCAAGTTTAAGTAAATAAATATACACTCTTCCCTTTAACAGTGGTCTAAGACAGAGTGGTATATTCAATATATGAATGTTGATAAAGGCGTACTAGATGTGCGTGGGTGGTTCGTGTTAACAGTAAAAGGTGTAAGGCCTTGCACTTAGATACATACCAGCTCATCCTACAAGCTCGTCATCACTCCACGACTGTCCTTAATGCTACAACCATGTATGTAGGGCAGATGCAATGACCTTCTGGGCATATCCAGGCACAATTTCATTATACGTTGCCGCGAAAGCAGTTTTCTTCCTGGCCCAACGAAAGTGTTTAAATGTGGCCGTTATTAATTTCCTGTTCTATTCAATTTCACTCGCATAACAAATTTATGCAGCATTCCATGGTATTCAGAATTTTGGGGTGGCTTTGCAAAGGAATCTATTTCACGTCTCTTCTTGAAATGATGCTCGATGATATCCCATGCTGTGATCATTCCACACCTCAACTAGTAATTTTAACAAAAATTGTACTTGTACCGGGTACAAACAGTGATACGAATATCCTCAGGCTGAATTCAACAGAATATCCTCAATTCCAACTACGAGACCCGTGAAGATCCAGGTTAGAACAGTAACCCATGCTTGTCGTAATAGGCGACTAACGGGATCGGGTGGTCAGGCTTGCTGACTTGGTTGACACATGTCATCGCATCCCAATTGTGTAGATCGAAGCTCATGCTGTTGATCACGGGATTGTCTGGTCCAGACTAGATTAGTTACAGACCGCTGCCATATGGCTGGAATACTGCTGAGCGCGGTATAAAACTCACTCACTCACTCAATTCCAACTACGACCAACTTTATTGATTATGACTAATTCCAGGAATATATACTGTAAGCCCTAAAAACGCAATTGGTATTTGTTGTCCTGAACTGACAAAAGTTCTATTGAAGATTTTTTCCTGCGATACAGAGGATGTAGGGATAAAAGGCTGTTATTCTGGCCCATTTCGAGTTCGAGTCCCGGAGCATTCCTCTCACATGAACTTTGATACTTAAAACTGAACCTTTGACATTTCTCGTAAACACAACCACATTCATGAAACACGTTGTGCACATGCATTACCTGCACTCAGGCCCTGTAAAAGCACAAGGAATTGTGAAACTCATCACTTTGAGAAAATGCCACACTTGACACAAGACGAAAGGAATCAGGTTATCGGTATGGTCAGCCAAGGTTTGGATTGCCAGGCACTTTAATGTGCATCCATTCACTGTAAGTCGACTCAGACAACGTTTTCGGGCTACCGGAAGTGTTGCTGATCTTCCGCGACCTGGTGCACCACCTGTGATAACAGCTCGACAAAACCGCAATATCCGAGTTTCACACTTGCGAAATCGGTTCCAAACAGCTGATGATTAGGCAAGGAGGACAATTGGGACAAGTCAACGTCATTTCAGCGCCCAAAAAGGTGCAAGGACGCCTTGCTGCCTTCAACATCCGGTGTCGTCACCCGTACCGTGGTCCAACCTTATTGCATCGCCACAGACTTGCCAGACAGCGATGGGCAGCAAATGGGGCCAATCTTGGCAACAGGACATGGCCAGATGTCATTTTTTCAGATGAATCCAGGTTTAACTTATCCTTTGCAGATGGACGTCAACAGATTTATCGACGTAAAGCAGAAAGACTTGCGCCAAACTGTGTCCTTGAACATGATCGTTTTGGAGGGGGTGGTGTCATGATCAGACCACAGACCATCAGAGGCTGCAGACCATCAAACAGCTGTTCCTGAGAAATGTGTGTCTTTCAATGCCCCAAAGACTGCTAGCATGTCTTGCAGCGCACGGTGGACACACACGATATTGACTGCAAGTGCCCCCTCCTTTGTGTGATGTCGTTGTTGCGTCACTGATGTTGTTGTTGACTGGACATTTTCAGATGAAATTATTCACAGATGTTCACTTAAAAGATATCTGCCAGTTAGGTTTATATATGTTGAAATTAGTGTGAGTAAAGAAAGTATGAATGTCAAATTGCGTTTTTAATGGCTTACAGTATATTATGATTGAAGAATGTATTTTTTATTTTTTTGACATTTTATAAATTTTGGCTGTATATTTTGTGATGTTTTAAGATCCAAGTACTCCTCTTGCGTGGCTGATTCCGGTGAGTTATACATCACTATTGTCATATCTGTTTCGTCGGAATATCGGGACTTGTTATCATGTGAGTTTTTTTATATTCATAGTGCTTTATCCGTTTTATTTAGATGTTTATCAAATTAATTTATACGTTTTAAGGTAGTTGATACTCAGTTGTACTTGTACAGATAGTTCTGTTCCGGGTTGTATGTGAGGGAAATGTAGTTTCACATGGAACAATGTTGTAGCAACCCCATGTCTACCCACTGACTTTAACGTCGACCGCAACGATGTTTCCGTGCATTAATAAGTGTTTCCGTGTAGTACCAAATATATATTTTTTTATTGCGAATTTGTTCTTAAGGATTGAGACAAACGTTTCCAACAATTTTCTAGTTACGTTTTTGCAATATTTGTGCGTTGATGTGTTTATTCTGTTTCATCATGACCATCCCTTGAACATCATAAGTACCGTTATTACTGCATAGCATGTGTCTGATCCGTATAGTAGTATAATGAGAATGGTGCTAGTTATACCGTTATTGATCAAAATATTTCCAGCGTTCATTTGGCAATAACACAAGGGTTTCCCCCGCAAATCTATCCTAGATGACACTTGCAATTGCTCCTCCCCTCCCTCAAATACCGACAAAGCCATGACATACCATTCGTTAGCTGTGTGCGGGGACAAACTCCGCACAGTGCCTTGCTGTTCTCATTGATCGTCTCTCGGCCAGCACATCGGACCTTCTACTACCGGCGACAACACGGTGTCGACACACGACTTTGAACCCTCATGTCTGAGGTGGAGGTGGTGTCTAGCTGCGACGGGTGAGCAAGGATTGACGGAATGTAGAAGGGTGTGACAGACACGCCCTGAAGTCACTCGGTCTCGGGACAAGCAAGATTCAAACACCAAGGTGCGGAACTGTCTCACAGGTGGGTCTTTTAATTTCAAATATATTCAAAGTTTTGTTTGTTGTTTATATAAAACCTGTTGACCAAGTTCCTATAAAGTCCCCCAGGTAAGTATATAGATACCCTAATATCAACAGGTCACATTGATTCATTCTGGTAATGTTTTCTTCGTGGGTTGATTATTTTTTCAGGTTGTAGGCAAATTAACCATTGTGTTAAATTAAATGTTTAGTCTTGAAGCATCCCTCAGACAAGAAAAGGATGAATTTAATGATTCCCCTCACTATAAACGGGCTAGATGAATGCAAAGTATAAGGAGGCTTTTGCTTCGTTTTAATATTGATGGACACATTTATAATAATTAGAGGATATTTATATAGCGCACATATCCACGCAACTAGTACATGCTCAAGGCGCATAAACAAAATATTCGCTCTGGGGTTGTCAGATTGTCAACTGGGAATGGCAAGTTAGGGGAATTTGTGTTCCGCCTGTGCATCTCTCGTACCCCTTATACATCGACAACAAACGTATTTACTGTTGCTACATTCGCATCTAAGACACAAAGTAGTTCAATATTTTGTTTAACCAATTTATGTCATAAACTCACTGTAACAAAAATATGTATAAGATGGTTGAGTGCGGGTTTCTGCATTAACAAAGTCTCTTCACAAGATGCAAATACTCTCTTGCATACATTTTGACAAATCATAAATTCCCTGATTATAGAATAAGACACGAGCCAATTTTACGAAAGTCAAAAACGATCGAAAGCGAGTTCAGATACCATAGAAAGTTCACAACTTTCGTCAAATTGGTATCTACAGAGGATGCGTGGGATTGGTATCTACAGAGGATGCGTGTGGGTATCTACAGAGGATGCGTGTGGGATTGGTATCTACAGAGGATGCGTGTGGGATTGGTATCTACAGAGGATGCGTGTGGGATTGGTATCTACAGAGGATGCGTGTGGGATTTTTTATTGCCCACGTTATGAATATTTACATTGGATTTTTGTGTGATTTTGATGTTTTGATTTCACGAACCGAAACCGCCATTAAGAAAGAGATTGTAGACTGTTTTCCGATGTAAATTCTTATCTTATCAGTGAGAGCATTTAAATAAATAATCTCAGATTTGGGCTGTGAGAAATAGCTTGCAACTTTAGCTGTCACGCTTCAGAGATTGTCAAATCCGACACCTCGCCATAATATTTCACGTTCAGTCTGTGTTGTCATCAGCAGTGGTGTATGCTATGGCGGACACTTCACGTTTTGCTTTAGAGGTGCAGGAAGAGTTGAAGTAATTTATGTTAATGGTTTAGCCGTTCACAACGGACAACGTCTCTTCAGTCGACTGTCTTGCGGAAAGACAAACTGGATGCAAGACCAAAGGTTACATTCTGTTATAGAGGCTATGACGTCAGCATCGCAATGTATGACGTCACGCCGTGATTGTGGAAACACGAATAATCTTGCGTGATTGTTATGAATGAAAATTTAATTCAGGATCAATGTGACCTAGTGACGTGAACGGATTATCAAATCAACCGCGCGATTTTCGTAGTCAACCCCCTTACAACACAGGTCGACCTTGTATGTCATGTGTGTATTTTACCATCTGTTCGATAACCACATGGATGATGTATCAACCGTTCATACCCCCTTGAATACACCATGTATCAAACGTTCATACCATCTTGAATACACCATGCATCTCTCGTTTATACACCTTGCATACACCATGTATCTCGCATTCATACCACCTTGAATACATGATGTATCTCACACTATAACCACCGTGAATACACCATTTATCTCGCATTCATACCAACTTGTATACACATGTATGTCACACTCATACCACCTTGAATACACCATGTATCTCACACTCATACCACCTTGAATACACCATGTATCTAACGTTCATACACCTTGAATACACCATGTATCTAACGTTCATACACCTTGAATACACCATGTATCTAACACTTATACCACCTTGAATACACCATGTATCTCACAGTCATAACACCTTGAATACACCATCTATCTAACGTTCATACACCTTGAATACACCATGTATCTCGCATTCATACCACCTTGAATACACCATCTATCTAACGTTCATACACCTTGAATACACCATGTACCTTACATTCATACCACCTTGAATACATGATGTATCTCACACTTATACCACCTTGAATACATGATGTATCTCACACTCATACCACCATGAATGCACCATGTATGTCGCATTCATACCATCTTGAATACACATGTATCTCACACTCATATACCACCTTGAATACACCATGTATCTCACACTCATACTACATTGAATACACATGTATCTCTCGTTTATACACCTTGAATACACCATGTATCTAACGTTTATACACCTTGAATACACCATGTATCTCGCATTCATACCACCTCGAATACACCATCTATCTAACGTTCATACACCTTGAATACACCATGTATCTTACATTCATACCACCTTGAATACATGATGTATCTCACACTCATACCACCTTGAATGCACATGTTTCTCACATTCATACCACTTTGAATACACCATGAATCTAACGATCATACCACCTTGAATACACCATGCATCTAACGTTCATACACCTTGAATACACCATGTATCTAACGTTCATACACCTTGAAAACACCATGAATACCTTTGAATACCATGTATCTCTACCACGTATCTAACGTTCATACACCTGAATGAATACACTATGTATCTACCTTGAATACATATGTATCTAAGGATCATACCACCTTGAATACACCATGTATCTCGCATTCATACAACCTTGAATACACCATGTATCTAACGTTCATACACCTTGAATACACCATGTATCTAACGTTTATACACCCTTGAATACAACATGTATCTCTCGTTCATAACACCTTGAAAACACCATCTATCTAACGTTCATACACCTTGAATACACCATGTATCTCGCATTCATACCACCTTGAATAAACCATCTATCTAACGTTCATACACTGTGAATACACCATGTATCTCGCATTCATACCACCTTGAATATATGATGTATCTAACACTCATACTACCTTGAATACATGATGTATCTCACACTTATACCACCTTGAATACACCATGTATCTCACACTTATACCACCTTGAATACACTATGTATCTCACATTTATACCACCTTGAATACACCATGTATCTCACACTTATACCACCTTGAATACACCATGTATCACACACTTATACCACCTTGAATACACCACGTATCTCACATTTATACAACCTTGAATACACCATGTATCTCACACTTATACCACCTTGAATACACCATGTATCTCTCGTTCATAACACCTTGAATACACCATGTATCTCACACTCATACCACCTTGAATACACCATGCATCTCTCGTTCATAACACCTTGAATACACCATGCATCTCACATTCATACCACCTTGAATGCGCCATCTATCTAACGATCATACCACCTTGAATACACCATGTATCTAATGTTCATACACCTTGAATATACCATGTTTCTCTCGTTCATAACACCTTGAATACACCATGTATCTCTCGTTCATAACACCTTGAATTCACCATGTATCTCACACTCATACCACCTTGAATACACCATGAATCATAATTTCTCTCTTGTTCATAACACCTTGAATACACCATGTATCTCACGTTCATAACACCTTGAATACACCATGTATCTCACATTTATACCACCTTGAATACACCATGTATCTCACATTCATACCACCTTGAATACACCATGTATCTCACATTCATACCACCTTGAATACACCATGTATCTCACATTTATACCACCTTGAATACACCATGTATCTCACACTTATACCACCTTGAATACACCATGTATCTTATATGTTGAATACACCATGTATCTCACATACCACCTTGAATACACCATGTATCTCACACTTATACCACCTTGAATACACCATGTATCTCTCGTTCATAACACCTTGAATACACCATGTATCTCACACTCATAACACCTTGAATACACCATGCATCTCTCGTTCATAACACCTTGAATGCATAATTTATCTCTCGTTTATAACACCTTGAATAAACCATGTATCTCACATTAATACCAACTTGAATACACCATGTATCTCACATTTATACCACCTTGAATACATGATGTATCTAACGTTCATACACCTTGAATACACCATGTATCTCACACTCATACCACCTTGAATACACCATGTATCTCACACTTATACCACCTTGAATACACCATGTATCTCACACTTATACCACCTTGAATACACCATGTATCTAACGTTCATACACCTTGAATCTCACACTCATACCACCTTGAACACATGATGTATCTCACACTTATACCACCTTGAATACACCATGTATCTCACACTTATACCACCTTGAATACACCATGTATCTAACGTTCATACCACCTTGAATACACCATGCACCTTGAATCATCATACTCACATACCACCTTGAATACACCATGTATCTCACATTTATACAACCTTGAATACACCATGTATCTCACACTTATACCACCTTGAATACACCATGTATCTCTCGTTCATAACACCTTGAATACACCATGTATCTCACACTCATACCACCTTGAATACACCATGCATCTTTCGTTCATAACACCTTGAATACACCATGCATCTCTCGTTCATAACACCTTGAATGCATAATTTATCTCTCGTTTATAACACCTTGAATAAACCATGTATCTCACATTAATACCAACTTGAATACACCATGTATCTCACATTTATACCACCTTGAATACATTATGTATCTAACGTTCATACACCTTGAATACACATGTATCTCACACTCATACCATCTTGAATACATTATGTATCTCACACTGATACCACCTTGAATACACCATGTATCTCACACTTATACCACCTTGAATACACCATGTATCTAACGTTCATACACCTTGAATCTCACACTCATACCACCTTGAA